TGGGTGTTATTTCAGCTTGGGATCCTGGCGTATCCGACGGTGCGTAGAGTGCACAAGTGGTGCGGAGGACATTGGATGTCAAGCTAGCAACTGGTGATTAAGAATGAACGCGTGGCGTGGCGTGGTCATTAAGAATGGATGCGCAAGAACCAAGGCCAGACGAATACCATGGTACTGGTATACAAATTAAACTAGCACGATTGGACGAAGTTTCTAAGCCACAGCAAAACTATATAATTCCTATGTTTTCGGTTTAGCATCGAAACCTTTTTTTTTTTGAGAAACCGCATTGAAACGTAAATGAACATTTCAAACACAAACTTTGGGCCTACATTGACAAGAAACGACATATGTGAAGACTTAAAGCTCAAGAGTTGCAATAGAACTGTCTTCATCATTTTTAGCAAGTGGCTTAACCATTTCAACACATATGAGTTCACTTCCTGATTTCAAATTTCACCTCTTCATATGATCAACAATAATTAGATTCTTCTCAAAGTATGACCCATAATAGCTTGATTAGTTCCTCGATTCGATGCAAGTGCTTTTTTTATTCACCTTAGCCATGGTACTCGGTGCTCAAGCCATTGCTTGCCCATCACCTTCGCTTAGTATCACGAAGCTCTTTCCTTCCTATCTTCACTCTATTAAGCCATCCTCAAGTCACATCTTTTTTTGAAACAACATTAAGCCAAAATTGAAATCCATGTCATCCAAAACATTATCTTGCTTCAATATTTGCCATAATATCCATCTTTTTCCTTTATTGATTTGATTCAACAAGTTCTTTGAGTGAGACCGATCCGTAGGCACTACCAAATTCATGTCTCATTATTTATTTGATAATTTTGCTTACCATTGATTCGATATGAAATTACAAGTCAATCATTAATCATGTCTAAGCATATTTCAAGGATTATCCATCACAATGTTTAACTTGGCTTGTCTTCACTTGGTTCAATGTTATTCCATATCATTTATGCCTGCCAACACAATGAGACTATATATATTCACAAGTCCATGCCTATTTTCTCACATGTTTTGGCTTGCCATATCTTCACAATTACAAACATTTACATGTCAAATTCTAGAGCTTTCCTAAGCCAAACTATTTTATGTCTGACCAAACTTATAGAAAAGAGCACCTATATTTATGATAACAAAATAGTATCACTAGATACATCATGAGATATGTTTTTATACTAGATAAATGCCAGTGCGTTGCAACAGGAAATTATTCAGATGTAGTAATCGTTTTAGTAGTGTTAGTCTGGTCTTGTTTGCTACTTTCTCATTAAGGTCTACTAAAACAATGTCTAAAAAACTAAATTTGTATATATTTTTTAATGTTTAGATGATGTGGAATTTGAGTGCTGCCTGTATCTAAAGGAGCAATCTGATCACTCACACATAGTCCCCTATGCTAACAGGCTCCCAAATGATTTTTTAAGCACTCACCGGTTATTCAGGGAAACAAAAATAACATACCTGATCGTTTTGAATTAAACATGAGGACACACACTAATCTGCCGAGTGCTCTTTCAATTAGATTTTGAAGAGACCGGTGGTCTCTATTATATCGGATAGCATGTAAGTTAGCGGAGGTAACTGTTCATTATTGCTGCAAAAATAAAAAGGGCAAAGTCATATACGAGGTGCGGGTTTAATTAGATATCTTTTCATCAGATATTTTTGCATGCAACACGTGTGGCTCATATGGATTCTTGATTTCTTTCGCACTGCATGGTGGGGCCGGCACAAAAAGTTTACTGTCCTATGCAGTGTACTCACGGTTGTTTGACCGTGAGGCTGAATGAGTTCGTCACCCTAGTTTTTTGTCGTTTACTGATTGCCCCCACAGAGTGTGCTTCAACTATTTGTCCCTGAGCGAGCGAGTGAGAGAGAGAGTTCATGTTGAGTAGCCATGGACCCAAACCCTTGATTCCTCGACCACCAATGGATTATTTACCATTATACCGTTAGGATTAGGATAGCTGTGTGCATGCCTGGTTAATTATATTAGTGCAGACTCCAGAGACTATCTTTTTATCTAAATAATTGAACAATTTTAAGCATTATTGCAACTCGCAAGCACCTTGTAATATACTCGCTTAATTTTGTTTTTGTTGATCGGCTTATGCCCTCTATTACATCCTAAAGCATTAATTCATTTCATGCATGGATCAGTCTCGGGCTAGGCCTATTTTACCCGAAAACCGAACCAAACCGGCTAAGCCAAAAAGTCATTTTTCGGTTGCTTGGTTCGGTTTTGGTTTCTGCATCTATCAACTTCAGTGTTTAGATACGACTTCGGTTTTGGGGTGAAACTGAGACAGACAAGCATTGAAACCGAACTCGATCACTCCTGCCTCCCGACCCAACCTCACCTCCAGGCCCAACACAAGCAGTGGCATAAGCCGTATAAGCCCCGTCCCTACTCGACTGCCCCACCCCCACTTTCCCAAACCGGCACTCCATTCACACTCTAAACCTAACTCGTCAGTTTTCAATTTTGTAGTAAGCCAATCGGTTATTGATTGTTGGGAATCGAGCCTTTTAGAAACCGGATAAACCGAGCCGAAGTGCATTTTAAACCGATTGTCCAGTCCTAGATCAATTAACGAACATTGGTAAGGTTTGTCTACATAGTCAAAGGTTAGCTTTAAGAATCTGCTCAGACACAAAAATAATGTCAGTATGATCACATATTGATGCGAGTATTCAACTAAAAACAGGTATATAAATAGAAGTACATAGGCCCTTTGTTGATTGCCCATAGAAGCAGCTCGTTGGAGAACTAGAGAAGCTCTCCTTAGATAAAAAGTTGCATGATTGGCGGGCCTTACTTTTTTCTTTTACATGGGCACTGATATATGGGAGTGTAGCCCACATGTCAACTCCGGTTGCACAGGCATAGAAAGTATGCTAGGCAACTCATCATTGCATGAGATTCATCCTCAATGCCAAGGAGTCGGGTAGTAACTAGATCCACTATATGCTTCCCTTTTTCTTTGATGTCGTGCCAGCATATTTGGGGTAGACAGTGTCTCCGGTGGAGGAGGGAGAAGGTGGTACGTGGAGGAGATATTATATTAGGGAGAATGCATTGCAAGCAGTGCGGATATTGGGTGTTGGAGAGGGAGATGGTGGAGGAATGACACGCATGGAGAAAGGATAGAGGTGGCAAAGCAGTGCAATCATGGATGAGAGAGAGAGGCGGCAAAGTGGGGTGTGTGTGTGGAAGGGAGAGTGTCGCCTTAGCGGCTCATGCATGGATGAGTTAGAGAGGAGGCAGTTGAGTGGCTCTTGGCTCGCACACCACTTAACTTAGCATTTATTTGGTTCGATTTGCTGTGAGCTGTTAACTATGAAAAAGCTGATTTGAGCTATGTGACATGGAAAAACTGTAAGTTATTTGGTTAAAGCAACTATAAAACCCACCAGGGGTGGATCTAGCACAAGGTCAACCAGGGTCGAACCCCTCCTATTACTGCCGACATTACGGGTGCCGACATTACGGGGGCCCTCCTATAAGTTTTTAGCCATTAATGTTTAAATGGAAATAAGGAGGATGATCCCCTCCTAGCATATGTTTCTGGATCCATCACTAAAACCCACCCTTGAAACTATTGTGAAATTTCTCTCTATTTCCACCCATTTGGAACAACATAAAGCAAAAAAGGCAGGGTTCTAGGCGTTGTGAAAATTATATTACGTGGAAGCAGTAGCTTCTGAACATGTAGCTTCAAGTTCCATCAATTTAGTTGGTGTTTTGCTTTTTAGCAACAGAAACAGTTTCTAGCTTATGTGCTTAACCAAACACAACTTTAATTTCTAGAATCCGGAGAAGTGCTTTGGTAGCCGTGGCACAGGGTAGAGAAGTTTGGCGGTTGGCTGCTTTGTGGTATTTGTAACTTTTTATTTATTTATCTTTAAGCTCAAGCCGAAACAGTTGTAAACGCGGATCCAAACCTCTGTAGCTTTGTGCTCGCCTGTGCACGTAGTATACATATATTAACTTGTTCCCAACCGAGACTAATAACTAATTAATAATAATATATCTCTCTGTCCTGAATAAATAGATTTTTAGAGTTGTTTTAAGTTAAACTTTTTAAACTTGGACCGAATTTCTAGAAAGACCCGTCAAGATTTATGACTTCGAATTAGTATCGTTACATATATCATATAATATATTTTTATTATGTGCTCATTTTTTGGTCATAGATGTTGCTACTCTTTCATATATAGTTAGTCAAATTTAAAATGATTTGATTTGCACGGATTCTAGGAATTGATTTATTCAGGGACGGAGGGAGTATATATTGACACATGTGTACTCCATCCGTCCGATAAAGAATATCATTCTCACCTTCCGAGAAGTCAAACAATTTAAATTTTGACTATATATATAAGGAAATATTAGTATTTATGGTGTATAATTAATATCATTAGATAGATCACCGAATATATTTTCATAATAAACTATGTGGAGATATAAATGTTGGTAATATTTTTTTTATAAATTTAGTCGGATTTAAGAAAGCTTACCAACACGCATGGCATAGTGAGACTCAAGATAGGAGGAGTACACTAGTACACTCCTAAAAAGTACGTGGTAGCCAATACATATTCATACGCTCAAGTACGGCAAGAATATAACCAGAACATGCATGCAAAACACTGAAATAAACCGCAAACCAAACTTGATTGGAACTTAGCACCGGCATACAAAGTGATCGCCGGCTCTTTACAACAAATGCACAGGGACGTTACAACAAATGCGCAGGGACGAAAGAGGCTGGAAAATTACAAATCGACAGCACGGCCATATGTGCATGCATGCATATGCATGCAGACTAGTCGTACCTCGTACGTGGAAAAGCAATCAAACCATGCATCATTCAAACCGAACCGAAAGGAGAAGACGTGTCACGTACGTGCGCGCCCATGCATGCATGTAAGGGAGGCAACGCACGTCGAGGCGTTGGTGATCGAGGCGCTCAGCACTTGAAGCCGGTGGGCACGGTCTTGCCGCAGTAGTTGAGGATGAGGCTGAGATCGATTGGCAGGTTGAGGTTGATGCCGAGGATGTTGCCCTTGATGGCGGTGCAGAGGCAGACGGCGGCCTCCAGGTCGACGAGCCCCTCCAGCAGCGGGCAGCATGGCTCCGCGGGCGGCACTCCCACCTTAGCCTTGATGAGGCCCAGCACGTTGGCGCACACGCCCAGCTTCAGCGCGTCGCGGGGGCACGTGCCGGACGACGACGGCGTCGGCGCCGGCGGCGTCGGCGTCGGCGCCGGCGGCGTCGGCGTCGGCGTCGGCGTGGGCGGCGTCGGCGTGGGCGGCGGCGGGGGGCACGTCCAGGCGCTGGCTACGCCCAGCACCACCAGGTTCACGGCCAGGAACAGCGCGAACGCCTTGGACGCCATTGCTCGATCACAAGCTAGCCTGCTCCTTCTCTCGCAGATCACTCTAATCAATGTAGTTAGAGAGCTCTTAGCTTGTTTGCGATGCTTTGATCACGGTGCAAATACCAGGGGTATTTATAGTCGAGCCTTGGGATTTAAGAAATCGGTGCACTAGGCACAATAGCGTTCATGTGAACCCGGGCCCGGCCGGCCATCATATATGCATCCATGTGAAGCCGGTTAGGAAGAGTCGATCTGGAATATTATGCCTACATGCGTATAACTAGTGTTTTCCCCTATACGGTCTCGAATATTTTGTGCACGGCTTCGGTTGGCTCCGCAAATGGCCAAGATCGCTGCATGGGCTGGCTCGCACTCGATCACGCTTGTTTTCATATGATCATTGGGTGCTATTTTAGCTTGGGATCTTGGCGTATCAGACGGTGCGTAGCGTGCGTAAGTGGTGCAAAGGCATTGGATGTCAAGCAAATGATGATTAAAAATGAATGTGGCGTGGCTGCGATCATCCATAGGATGCGCAAGAACCAAAGCCAGAGGAATAGCATGGTGCAGGGCAACTGGAGACAGGAGTTCATCTATCTTTGCTCTGTCCTTTTGCAAGAGCTGTTTGGGACCAGGTTCTCTCCTGGGAGAATTTCAGGGTGCATCTCCCACAACAGGACCCTACATGCATGGCTAATTGGTGGGAGGAAGAGGCAAGCAAGGTGCCCAAACAGGAACGCAAGCGGTTCAATGGAATACTAATTTACATTGTGTGGAACCTGTGGAAAGAGAGGAATAGGACGATCTTCGAAAACGCCCACATGACGGCGCAGCAGGTGACCTCGTTAGCAAAAGAGGATATAATGCAAAGACATAAGGCGATGACGTTTGCTGGGTGAATCCTTTTAGCAGGAGGATTTGATCTCTCCTACTTGGGTCCTAGGACCGTCGTGTATTGCACCAGTGGGCACCATATATGGATAAAACTCTAAACTCTTTCTCTTACTTAATTGAGTGACAGAGCTCCTGCCTTTTATTTCAAAAAAAGGCATTACAGATTAAACTAGCACCATTGGACGAGAAGTTTCTAAGCCACTAGCAAAACCTACATAAGTACTATGGTTTCGTTTATTAGCATGGAAATGAAAATGAATGAATTGAATATTTCAGACACAAATTTTTGGGCCGCCATTGATCATTTGTTCCTATGGGCCGGCCTATCAACTTTAATCTGAGCCACATGGACCGGCCTTCTTATAGCTCGGAAAAGAAGCGACCAGCCTACAACGCGGCAGGCCTAGGCCTTGGGGGACAGATGAAGGGAGGAAAGAAGCGATTCCCAAGGCACTTGGCCGGCGTTGGACTAGAGACTTGTCAACGCACTTCAAATCAAGATCAAATGAAAAAAAAATCAAATTTTGATCTGTGTGAGTTTTAAGTCTTCACATATGTCATTTCTTTTCATTTTTTCTTGTCAACAGTTGAAACCAAACTGTCTCCATTTTGAGCAAGTGACTTGAATCATTGCAACACATATGACATATGAGTTCACTTCATGATTTCAAATATCCTCTTCATATGATCCAACAATTATTTGATTCTTCTTAAAATATGCCTCCTAGCAGCTTGATTGGTTCCTCAATTCAATGCAAGTAATTTCTTCTTCACTTTAACCATAGTGCTCGGTGCTCAAGCCATTGCTTGCCCTTCGCCTTAGTATCTTGAAGTTCTTTCTTTGCTATCTTCACTCTATTAAGCCATCCTCAAGTCATAGTTTTTTTAATCAATATTAAAAACAAAATTGAAATCCATTTCATCAAAAATACTATTCTTGCTTGAATATTTGCCAAAATGCCCATTCTTTTCTTGATTTGATTCAACAAGCACTTTGAGTGAGAACAATCCATAGACATTACCTAATGTCTCATTATTTATTTGATAATTGTGTTTACCTTTGATTCAACTTGAAATTCCAAGTAATCATTAATCATGTCTAAGTCATATTTCAAGGATTATGCATCACAATGTTTGACTTGGCTAGTCTCTTCACTTGGTTCAATGATATTTCATAATATAAATGCATGCCAACACAATGAGACTATATATATTCATAAGTCCATGTCTCTTTTTCTTCACACATTTTGGCTTGCCATATCTTCACAATTATAAACATTTACATGTCACAAAATTTCTCCATCTATCCCAAATTAAATCCACTTCTAGAGTTGTCCTAAGTCAAACTATTTTAAGTTTGACCAAATTTGTAGAAAAGAGCACCTATATTTACTAGTATATTGCCCGTGCTAACGCTACGGTGACATTTAGGGTAACACATTAAACAGTCATTCATCAAACTTGGTAAACAACTAACCTTATCTTATGAATTTGAAAAATATGGTAAATCTAAAGCAATCCATTATACTTAATCAATGGGCAGAGGGGCTCCCCTTGGACCATGGGCACGACGGCGGAGCCACCCGCCTCTGCTGGCACCCCGGGTGTGGCGGTAGAGCCGTCCGCCCCTGTTGGCTCCTGGGGCAGGCCGATGGTACGGCCCTTCTCTGTCGGCTCCCGGACATGCCCTTCCCTCCGTGGAATGGGAAGGGTGCCAACTCCTACAAGGACGAACCGATACCTGTCAGCACATCCTCATTCTCCAGGTCGTCCCACTCGATGTCGTCGACTACCTTGTCATTGTCTCCATCATCATCATCATCATTGTCACTATCGGTGTCCTCCCCTCGCTCCCGTGCCTGCAGCTTCCGTTGCTTCTTCTTCCTATTGTCCTCCTTTGCCTTCCTCAGCCGCTCGCCCTCAGCGCGATTCACCGCCCTCATGGATGAATCCCTCGGCAACGGCACTGGGTGATCCGTGAAGATGAGGTCCCTTGGCTGGTCCCGTCCCCCTCAAAGTTAGTATCAAGAGTTCGAGAAATCAATTGAAGAGGCGGTATGAGGAGGGGAAACTTACGAAGACGACATGGCCTGGTTCCAGCCGCATCAGAGGATGTCCTGGCACTGGGTAGACAAAATAGAGGGGGGCGCCCGTGTTGTCCCGTGAAGGCTCCATTGCCTCCTTAATGCGTTGCATGACCTGGAGTGGGTGAGCGCTCCCTCGGCAAGCATCGTTCCATCTAACGATGCCTCGGGCGCCATCGCGTATCAGCGGGAGCATGCGCATCATCAACGGCGCCACCCTCCTTGCGTGGTAGGCCCAGATGATGCACGACCCATTTAGGCCGCTCTCCTTCAGGATGTGGATGGCAGTGATGTGGTCCCGGATCTTCTTCTTGTCCTTCTCCATAACGCCCTACTTCCTCCATGACTCCGGGGCCTCTTCGATCAGGCATCTGGTGAACTCCGGTAGAGGGGCGGCGGCGTCATTCTTGAGGTAGAATCACTATGAATGCCACCCCTTGTTGGACGTTGACAGCCGCATCAGCAGGTACTCGCCAACTCGGTTGTTCCGGAGTTGGATGCTGGCGCACCCCATCGACATGTGCAGTTCCTGCCCACCGCTCTTCTCCCTCTTCTTCTAGAGGGTGATGGTGAAGAAGTACCTCCACAGATCATAGTGGGGGCTATCCCTAGGAATCCCTCACACAGGGCGACGAACGTCGCCATGTGCTAGATCCCGTTGGGGTTGAGATGTTGTAGCTCGATCTTGTAGTAGTGCAGCAACCCTCGAAGGAATATGTGGGTGGGGGTCGTGAACCCACGCTCATGGAAGTGGGCGAACGACACTATGTAGTTGTTAGGTGATGATGGCAGATCCTCCTTGCTGGGCAGCAGCCACTCCTCGGCCAAGGTCCACGCGCGAAGAAGACGGCGATGGATGAGGCCCTCCATGGGCTAGAAGGTGATGTCAGAATGGCACCACAGATCCATTGGAGGTGGGGACGGTTGGATGCGGGCTCGATGACAGCGGGGATGTAGAGACGGAGAACCCTAGGCGATTGGCGGCGGCGGTCATGGCTGCGGAGGCAAGGATGTAAGGTATGGAACCCGGGGGGGCGAACCCTTTGGTTTTATAGGGGTGACGAGTGCGAGGAAACCAACCGTCCACCAAGATCTCCGTGCCTGCCATGATCTACCACAACATCCCACCATGGGATGTGCGCGCGCAATCTCTATCCATTCCCTCCAAAAACTCGCCGAACGTTTTGCCTCTCCAGATGGGCCACGACTCATCGCGGGTAAGAGAAATACGGATCTAAAAGCGTCTCTATGGCCCGAGTGGGCCAAGGAGTCCACAGGTCGGCCCATCGACATGTTCGACAACCGCTCTAGGCACCTCTAGAGTGAGAGGTGGAAAGGGATGGGCCCGCTAGCAGCTAGAACCTAGGTGCGCAAGCGCCGCGGGCATCCCGGCTCATGTTCGAGTCCCTTGTTGGTCATGATCCGTGGTTTTTCCTCGAAAAAAGGCACATAGCCCCCGGGACCGGTTGAACGGACCAAAGAACTACATGGATCAACCGCCAAGAATCTGGAGTCAATCACCAAACTAACCCAAGCTAGATCCTCATGAATAGGATGCCGGGGACCCCACTCAGACTAGCCCATTAAATAGCTCACCGAATGCCATGATTCGTCCTTAGAGAAAAATCATGGCATGGCTCGGCCCCTCTTTTTTATCAAAAAAATGCTTGAGGGAAGACAATCGCAAAGACGAATCGATCCTCTACTAGGCCCCTGCTACGAGAGGGGGCTCAAGGAAAGGGAATCACCGTCCCTAGGTCACACTGTGGACGACAAAAGAAGGCCAAGGCCTTCAGAGTCCTCCCGTTCGGAAAAGCCTCCGAAGGAGTATTCTACTCCTCTGGAGGCTCGAGGGCTACTATCGGGGATAGATACTAGGGTATCCAAAGAGGAGCTAATAACCATCAACATTGATTCGTCCGAACAGTCAAGAGCGCGACTATAGCTCCAACCGACGCCCAGGTGCGCAAACTCTGCCTCGCCCGACCCCTGAGGGTTGGCTCGCCTCGCCCAACCCCGAGGTCGCGAGGTCTGCCTCAC